GTGACAGTGACTGAGAACGCGGCCAGGACACGAACGTCGACAACGTTATCGCGTGCTGATCGTGCGATTGTCGCGAGGGTCGGAGGATCTAAACGCGGCGGTCGTCGTCGTGTTCGCAATCCCGTCTGCAGCAGTGTGTGCGTGCGTGTGTTGCGTGTGCGCACCGGAGAGGAAAACATTAAAAACAAATGCACAAACCGGACGAACAATAATCGTTCTCATTACTTGTCCGTTATCAATCGTCACGCCGAAACCGCGTTACCGCGCACGTAACAATAACAACAATAACACTGCACTCGCGGAATCGTTTATCATCATCGCACACGCGCGCTACGAACAGTGGCCAACACGGTCGTACCAGCGGCGGCAGTAGTAGTACTATAGTAGTAGTTGTTTTCTCTCTCCTTCTCTTTCTCCCGTGTCGTTACCTGGCCGTCGTCGAGTTATTGGGCAACAACGTTGCCGCGCCGAGGTTAGGTGTACCGCGCTACAAATCCCGCCGCCGTCTTCACGCGAGTCTTCCGCTCGCCGTATCCGAATCGTGTCGTCCGGCGCGAAACGAGCTAGGGGCGAAGTTTCGACTTTTTTCCTTCTTATTTTTTTTTTTTTTTTATCTCGGCACAACAGACCGAAAACAAAACAAACCGGAAGATTGGGAAAGCGCGCGCGCACACGCACACGGTCGCCGTACATTACTCGCGTACGTTGTCGCGCGCACGCACACGCACAAGGGTACGCGAGCGCGCGCGCGTGCGTACACAGTCTCCGCCAGTCGCTCGCTCGCCGCTCGCGCGAAACAACACGAAGAAGACGTCAACAACGGTCAACGGTGTTCATTGATGGGAAGTGGTGGTCATCATCCCGGGCGTCCGGTAATCAGCCAAACTGGAACTGATGGAATTAGAAAACATTGTCGCCAACACCGTCTATCTCAAAGCAAGAGAAGGTAAGGAGAAATGTCGAAGGAAAAATTGATAAAAAAAAAAACGATAAAAATGATAAATAGGTAGCACGTAGGTGCCTCTCCCCCTCTCATTCCGCTTCCCTGGTGTCACTTATTTACCTACGATTTTTAATCGATGTCCATCATTATTATGTCGGACGGCCCTTGTATCATCGACAATTGTCGAGCCCGGGGTACCACCGGAGTATAACACGGACGATTTCTCTCTGAACACTGTTGTGGCGATTCTCGCGATCCCTAGGGTCTTTCGTCATCGTCGCCCCCTTCGAAAACCCCCCCCAATTTATTAGTCGCTGCATCCGATTAATTTGACCTAAATTATATGTTTGACATTTATGCATAATATGTAAATCTACCAGAAAACGATCGATGATGTCGTTTAACCGATTTATTAGTACTTAGCCTTCGACACAAACATCCACTAACCATATGATAATTTTATACAAGCCCTTTCACAGACACATTTGCCCACTGCCTAACCTCTTAATTTAAACAAGATTACTGACAACATCATTTTCATAGTTTGAATTTATTTAAAAAATATCTTGTACGACCCAAATTCACAAAACAATTTATGTTAATCATCAGTTCATTATGATAATGTTAAAATTATTCTCCATGTAATTCTTACAGGGCAAATAATATTGGTACAACTTTTAATTCAACTATATCTCATATTTTTCTTGTATAATAAATATATTTTTTTTTGTTTTTCAATACTCATGTAGTTTCTAAATAGACTATCCATTATGAATTATTTTTTAATAGGAATAGGATGTATTATAAGATTACTATATAACTACTTAACAGTTATATTATATTTACAGTCTATAGGTTCTGCTTTTTTAATATTATTATCATATGTGATTTCGGGGCATAATTATAAATTGTATTATTTTACTTCTGTTCTCCATTATAAGAATATTTATTCTTTAATTGAAAAAAAGTGATGAGAGAATCATTCAATATAATTTTTCGGGCCAAGGCAATTTTTATAATAATGATTACTTAGGTGATAAAGTGAATAATTTGAATAAAGTGAATATTTTGATTGTATTAATCATACATTTATTAATTTTTAAAATTAAATTAGTTTATAATATAAATAATTTTGAAAGAACTAATATTTTTTTCTAATTTTATTGAACTCTTTACCAAACACTTTGTCTAGATAGTTTTGAAGAAGTTTATTATTTTCTTATAGTTTTCCTTATAGGTATTCAATTAATGAGCAACTCTATTGATAACCATAATAAAAAAAAAAATTGTTTTCAAATCATTTTATTGCAAAAAATATTACAAGAAATTGTTTGTTTTTAATTTAATATTAAGTTATTTAATCTTAACTTATATCTGATATTAATTTAATTTTTAAAAGTATTGCAGTTTAAATGGTTTTTTTATTTAATTTTTAAGCTATTTTTAATACTCCTAGAAGGTTGTATGTGTGCATGTAAACCCTATTTAATTTTATTTGTTATACAGTTTTGTTTAATTTGAGGCATATCTATTGAATCTATTTATTTATGCATGCTAATAATGTTTAGTTTGTTAGGAATTAAAATCATATGTATATAACTAGAATAATCATATATTAATTAGTTTGACGTTTATAATTTCTCTGGATATTTGTGGAAAGGTATTTAAATATTGGATTTCTTATCTTAAATAATTTTTTCATTTTACTCATATTAATTTCTTGTTATTCTATTTGAATCAGAGTATAAATAATGACTAATGTTTTTAAACTGAGAATAAAAAAAATGCACCATGTAGTTATAAAACACTATTTTTTAAATTTTTTGTGGAGTTATAGTAGAATTATAGAGTATTTTTATAGTTGACATCAAAATATATTGTGATATATTTAATATTAGTACTTTCTTTATAGTACATAATAGTTCTTTATCAAGTATAAAATTATTGCTGTGATTGTTACTAAATTATTATTTACCTATTTATAGACAGTTTTTTTTTTCAGCTTTAATGTTAGATTACTAATTCTAAACTAAGGATTATTAACATTTGTAAAATATTTGTTTCAATATTTCAAGTTGTATAACTATTACAAGTATTTGGATTTTTTTTCTTTGCAATTTAAATAATTTCTATCAAAACCATTTCTAGATGTTGATGCTTATAATATTATATTTTATCTTAAATTTGGTGTTTTTTTCATTTTTTTTTTCATAATTGATTAAATATTTTTCCTCGTAGTAATACATATATAGTCTTTTTAAAATATTTTTAAATCATATAACTATCTTTAAAATGATATGATACTATGAAATTATAATGTTCTGTTGTATAATACAAACATTATATAGAATTTTTATTAATTTTAACTTAAAAATATAGGTAGCTATAATTTTTTCACATAATAACATAATGTATCTAGGTTCAACAATTTTTTAATTACTATTTTTATTTAATATTACGTTTAGCTTTTACTTTGACACCATGAAAAAGTCATATAAAATAATTAAAACAATGTTTATGACATAGTTATACTAACAGAAATAAAAAATGATATTGTTTATAAATTGAACTCAAATTAGTTTTTAAAATATAACATAAATTATACTACTTCCTTTAAGTTTTTAATTCTCTGACTATTTTCTTTAGAACTGTTGATGAATTTGAGATACTGTTGTGTATGTAAGATAACTAAAAATTTCAAAAAAAAAAGCAATTAATAAAAATGCACAGTGACTAATGTCATCAACAACCACCAAGTGTAAAAAAATATATTCATTGTTCATTAGTTAAACAGTAGTTACAGCACGTGTAAATTGAATCATTTTTTTTTTTTAATTGGTGTATTATAAATTTTGTTTATTTTTCAAAAACTCAGATGTTGGTTATAATGATGAATTGTACCTATCTTTTGAAAGTTTTTAATTTTTTAATTTTAATAAATTTTAAAAAATAATATTAAATTATTTATGAATACATTGTTTAAGGCACTTCAATATTAATTTTTAGTTTCCAATACTCAAATAATTAACGTCCAATCATAGTTTGTTTTGTGTTTGGTACTTTTTTTAAATTGATTATTACATTTGGGTTAGTAATTCTTATAAAATTTAATTTTATGAATAGGTTATATTATTTCTATTATTTAAGATAGAAGAATTATGAGTCAACCTAATCTAGTGTCAATATAATACTTTTTAAAACTATTTAAAACAATAATGAACGTAAAACCACATGTAATATACATAATAATAGGAAGTAGGTATCTTTGGTATTATTTCTTTATTCCTATTAATTATATTTTAATTTCATTCATTATCTTTATCTTGGTTATTATTTGTAAGTTTCAAAGGTTATAAATTATGAAACAAAAAACAAATTGACTTTTTATTATGCTGTAATATTTGTTTATTATGTTGTAAATTAAATAATTAATATAATTATATTTATATATGTATGTCGGGATGTATGTATTAATGTTTAGCGTTTCTCATATTGAACAATCTTAAACAAATAAAATAAAATAATTTAAATTATATGATACAATATTGGTTGTATCCTAATTTTACCTTATATATATATATATATATATATTTAGTAATTATTAAAAAATAATTGGTACATAATAAAACTAATTATTACATACTTAACCTCCTTAGCAGTACTTTAAATTTAACATTAATACAATATTGCCTGTAATTATTATTATTAATTATATATTATAGGTGGAACAGATAGCAATAAAGGAAAAAGTAAAAAATGGAAAAAAATACTACAATTTCCACATATATCTCAGTGTGTTGATTTGAATCCATTAATAGGTATATTTTATAATCAAATAATTACTATATAATTTCATTTCATTTTATTTGAAGTTGTAACATATTATATTTCGTTTTTTAGATATGAGATACAGCTATATTATAGATCAACAACCAATTGGCCGGTTACTATTTCTTCAATTTTGTGAAGAAGAAAGACAGGAATTTCATCGCTATAACGTATTTTTAAATTCTATTGTGAGTTTTAATTGAAATGAAATTAATTTTTATACTGATATTATATTTAATGTTTTAACAGGAAAAATATGAAATAGAATCTGATGAAAATAGATTAGAATTAGCAAAAATACTGTACGATAGATTTATTAGAAGAGAAGTAAGCATTTATATATTTTTTTTAATTTTAGCTTGTCACCTGATAAATTATTATTAATTGTTTATAATATTAGGCTGTTGAAGCAGTGGATGTACTAAATGAAGACATGATAGTTAGGTGTCGGCACCAGTTAGACTCTGCTAATAGAGAGTTATTTACTGATTGCTCAACTGCCGTGAAATCATACTTAGCTGGTCATCCGTTTAGTTTGTTTGAATCTTCTATGTATTTCCATAGATTCTTACAGTGGAAATGGTTGGAAAGGTATGTTTGATTTTAAAATGGATTTGGATAACGTTAAATTAACTCTGAATTAAAATTGATAGTTAAATATTTTTGTTTCAGGCAACCTGTGACATACAAAACATTCCGCATGTATAGAGTGCTTGGTAAGGGTGGTTTTGGAGAAGTTTGTGCATGTCAAGTGAGAGCAACTGGTAAAATGTATGCATGTAAGAAATTGGAAAAAAAACGTATTAAAAAGAGGAAAGGCGAAGCAATGGTTTTAATTGAAAAACAAATTTTACAAAAAATTAATTCTAAATTTGTGGTAAGTTGTTAGTAATTTATTTTAATTTTTAAAAAATTTATATGCATTTTAAATTAAAGAAAAAGTGAATTTTAATTAATTTATTTAAATGTTGGTTCTAGGTTAGTTTAGCATATGCGTATGAGACAAAAGATGCATTGTGCTTAGTATTAACTATTATGAATGGTGGAGATCTAAAATTTCATATTTATAATATGGGCTCTGAACCTGGTTTTGATATTCCAAGAGCTCGATTTTATGCTGCTGAGGTATTTTAACAATTTTTGTTTATTAATATGTACTATACCAATGAAGTTAACGTTTTAATGTTCATTAGTAATCATTAATCAATAATAAATAAAGTTAAGTGTTATAATTATAGTTTTATTATTTTTAATTTAATTTTGAGATATTTGAATTATTAAATTTGTTTAACCTTATATGGTAGGTTTTAAAAATGAATTTAGTTTAATTTATTTGTTATTTTATACACTTATATCTTAATAAATTAATAATTGTTTTAATTAGGTATTATGTGGATTAGAGCATTTGCATGTTCAAGGCATAGTATATAGGGATTGCAAACCTGAAAATATACTTTTAGATGATGCAGGCCATGTTCGCATATCTGATCTTGGATTAGCAATGGAGATACCTGAAGGTGAATCAGTCAAAGGAAGAGTTGGTACTGTTGGTTATATGGGTAAATACAAATTCAGTTTTCAATTTAATTTCATAATAAACAACTTTTTTTCCTTCCTTAAATTTAGAATTAATAAATTGGTAATCTCAATTATTAACAAAATTATATTTATTTTATAGCGCCAGAAGTAATTGATAATGAAAAGTATTCATATAGCACAGATTGGTTTAGCTTTGGATGTTTAGTATTCGAGATGATTGAAGGTCAAGCTCCATTTAGAGCTCGAAAGGAAAAAGTAAGAATAAAAGTTTACTGATACTTTGATTATTTACTTAACTTAATTACTTAATCTCAAATATTTGCTAGAAAATTATTTTTACATATTTTATTATTTAACTTGAATTTATTTACTTATTAGAATATATTACATTCATTTTATGGGTATAGTAAAAATTGAGCTTTAGTTGAGAAAGTATATCAAATATTGGACTAACCTTTCATGGTGTACGCATTGAATCAGTTTATATATTTAATCAGTTATGGACATACATTCATCATCATTATTTATTTGTTTCAAAATAATATATATTGGGAGCATTCATGTATAATGTCATGACTACCTCCCACCCCTTGAATTAGTATATTCTTATTAATAAAATAATGTCTTAAAATACCAAAATAAAGATAATAAGAATAATTATTATTATAATATGGCATAATATGTTTTATTGCTGTATGCTGTCAGTAATTCATCGACTTTTGATTTTTTACGCTTTTATTTGAATTTTGATAGATATAATGCTGGCATCAGATTTGAGATTTAGTTTCCTTCCCCTCTATGTTAGGTACAGTCAGACTCCTTGAACCCCTTCCCTCTGGTTTACTTATGTTATATCTAAATTGTGTCATATATACTAATATTAAACTATCTTAATCTAGTAAGATTTAATATTTAAATGTTAATTGATTTAAAAAAATTAAATTTTTTTCAACATGTTTTGTTTTAAAAAAAAATTTTACTAGTATTTGATAATATTTATATTATGTTTGTTTTACTTAATTGTCCTATAACTGTTTAGTCTAATAATATCATCTAAGTTCTCAATATTTATTTATATTAATTAACAATATTTTTATATTTAGTATTAGAATTCTTCATTTATTATGTAATTAATAAAATAATGAAAATAAAATAAAAATTAGTAAATAATTAATACTTGAAAATTATTATAGAAATTAATAGTTTATACATAGAAATAAATAAATTCTTAGTCTCAAGTATTATTATATTTGTTATGTGTAACTAGTTTCAAACTAAAATTTTATCATCAGTTATGTTTAAAGTTAATAAAATCGTGACTCTGATTAACTTTGTATATATTTATGTGTTATAATGTAATTGTTTGTATTTTTTTATAGGTTAAACGTGAAGTAGTTGATCGAAGAGTAAAATTTGAAGATGAAAAATATTCACATAAATTTACTGAAGAAGCAAAATCTCTGTGTAAACAAGTATGGCCATCAACAATAAATATTAAATCTTGTAAAATCTGATCAATTAAATTATTATTAAGTGTTAAAAACCATAAATAATAAATTAACTTTTATAAATATTTTCTTATAAAGTTATCTTTATATTTCTTATAATATGAAAAAAATACCAAAATTGTTTAAATATTGTAAAAAGGTATAAAAAATTATTCTATTCTTAAGTGTTTTTATGTTATTGTTACAATTTGTAACATATTATTTCTATACTATCATGTTTAAACTAGTAATTTATTAAACTGATTTTCAAATAGGTAAATAAAAGTAGTTACTAATAAGAAATTTAAAGTTTCAAATAATAAAGGAGGTTTTGTTATTGAAATATAATTATTATATTTTATTAAAACTATTTTAATATTTGTAACTTTTGAAAGATTTAAATATTTCAATTATCTTAATTCACTATATTCAGTTATACAAATTTATAATAATGATATTCTTTATAATGGGACTATAAATATTTTGTACAATAATACATTTTTATAAATAACCTGTTATTTGTTGATTTAATTAAAAATTAGATTTTGATTTTATTATACAAATGTTAAAATTATATAGTATTTTAAATTTGGTATTATTATTTTCAATATATTTTTTTTAGCTTTTGATGAAGTCTTGTAAAACTAGACTAGGCTGTCATTGTGGTCGTTATGGTGCAAGGGAAGTGAAACAGCAAGATTTTTTTAAAACCATAAATTGGAAGAGACTTGAAGCTGGTGTCGAGGACCCTCCATTCAAACCAGATGTATGTTTTATTACTTTTAATTTGTAAATATTTTAAGTAGTTTTAAAGTATTTTAAGAGTATATTTTCTTTTACAGCCTCATGCTGTATACGCCAAAGATGTATTGGATATTGAACAATTTTCCACTGTTAAAGGAGTGAATTTAGATGCTACCGATGATACATTTTATACAAAATTCAACACAGGTTCAGTTTCCATACCATGGCAATATGAAGTATGTACTAAGATATAGTGTGTCTATTTCTAGTATTTTTATTAAAATGTATAATATAGTAAAATAGTATTAGGTTTTTTAAGGTCATACAGTTATAAGATCATATTATCTATATTATGTTTGGTAAAAATAATTTATATATGAATATAAAGATATTTATTTTGTTTTATTATTATAGTATAATCAAAGTAATAACTTTAATCATTGATTATTTTAATTTTATTTTGATTAATGTTATTAAATGTTTATTCATCTTGATCACCCGGTTTTATTTTTACTATTTCATTTATAGTAAAACTTCTATAATTATGAATAAAATAGATATTCAACAAACTATAAATTAAATGTTGATTATTCAAATCATGTTCTAATTAAGATTGTCATGTATAAACTAGTATTTAATATAATCATGTTATACAAGGTTTGTTTGATTTGCATATTATTTATGAATTACTGATTATATCATTGATGGCATCTTATAATGAATATATAGATTTAACTATTTGTATAATACGTCTTCTAATGCTTAAAATGATTTATATAATATTTTAGATGATTGAAACCGGTTGTTATAAAGAACTTAATGTATTTGGGCCTAATAAGTCAAGATCACCTGATTTAATTTTAGATCTAACGCCTGAACCTGAAAAGACTGGTTGTTTTCCATTTAGTAGAAGAGTAAGTTAATATTTATATATTTATTTAAGAAGTTGAAGATTTGTCAGTTTAAATTTTCTATGTACCCATGTAAACTTTTTAAAATTTCTTATAATTTAAGTTCATATTTTGTGAGTTTAAAGTATATCTCAGTTTTAACGTTTTTAAATACTATATGTATAAAATTTTACATTTTCTCTTAAATATTTTGTTTCAGAAAACGCAATCAGCTAGATCAAAGCCAGTTCCTATTATGGATTCTTGTTTTCTTAATAAGCAAAATAAAATTACCGACGAAATTCAAAGTTGATGGAGTACATTTACATAGTTAAAGTGATTTTATGCATTATTGTTGATTGCGAAATCCTCTAGTTTTTTCCTCGCCTTAATGTATAAATTTCAAAGTTTAACTAAAATTTCTAAATAACAGTTAATTTGATTTTCTTATACAAACTATAAGTATCAAATAATTAGTTGACAAATTATAAAAAAAAAAAAAAAAAAAAAAAAACAATGATCATGAGCATTTGCAATAATTACCTTTTTATAATATAATTAATTTTATTACATTTCATTTTCATTGTTTTTTTTTTTTTTTTTTTTAATTGTTTCTAATTTTTGACTGCTATTGCAGTACCACTAAACATTTTCCTATACAAAATCTTTCTACTGAACTCTATTCAGTGTTTTTCTTATACAACTAATTTGTCATTTTATATGTTGTGTGATTATAGAAAGTTGTAATTTTGTTATGTTTACTGACTAGTTAAGATGATAAAATATATTATGTTTTAAAAAGGTCTATGAAATAATTTCTTTGGCTGTTGATAAAGTGATATTGTTAAATGATTTTTATTTTTAAGTTATAATGATTTAAAACATTTTTTAATCAGACTAAAACACATGCATAAAGGCTGTAGTAATGTGGCCAATCAAATTTTAACCTACTTAAACGCTACAAATGTTGTTTTCTTTGTCTTCCCATTTTATTTTTAATTTTATTATTATTAGTAACTAATTTTTAAACTAAAATGATTTTACTATTAACAATCTATATACAAAGTACAAATTGAAAAAAAACATTTTCTAGCTACCATGTACAAAGACAAAGTTTACTTAACATTTGGGTTTTCTTTGAATGGTCAAATTATTGTATTTAAATATTATCAATCTTAATAAACCTAATGTACACAAATTGATTATTCTGTATAGTTACTTTTTTTAGTCTTCCAGGAGAAATTGATACAAATTTATTATAAGTTTAAAAATTATAGCAATTAAACCCTTTTAATTATAACAAGTTTAAGGTTAAGGCGCGTGTAGAAATAAAAACAACTGCAATAAGTATAAAAAACTAATATACCTCTGACAAGGCAGCTGATTAAGTTAATGTTTTGCTGAATCTTGCCTCTTTATACATATGTATTTATATATATTTATATAAATATATATTTATACGGAAACAATAAAACTTGCCCAAATATATAGGTAATAATGATTACTTAACCTGTTAACTTAAGTTAATGTTGTTAATTTGTTTAATACTTAAATAATAGATGTCTAAGTATCATATTATAAACGTAAATAGTGCAGAAATTTATATACTTATTTATGTCATACACACACACACACATACATATTATTATGTGTACGTGTATGTGTGTGTGTGTGTTTGTGTGTTATATATTCTATTAAGGCAGTCCTATTAATAGATTGTATTAATGTTCTGTTCTTTGTGCAAATTATCAATTATTTAATATTAAATTATCTATACGTAGATACACACAATATAAATACATGTGTATGTATTTTCTAATACATTTTGAATGACTGAAGTAGTAACTGCTTGTATAGGGTTTATATAACATTTTATACAATTTATTTTCTATATTAATGAAAAAAAGATTTATAAAAACAAAAGGTCCTAGTCCTCATAACAATTACCATATAATTTTTTTTTTCATGATTATAAATTATAAAGCTGTGATTGAAAACTTCACAATAAACTGTATTAGTTGATTATTATTTATTAATTTTATTTATTTGTTGTCTACTCGTATACATAATTTTAATTGTATGATATACTATAATATTGTAACAAAATAGAACATTATTTGTTTTTGTTAAATCATTTTCGATTTAAATTTTAGATCTTTATAAAATTCAACCATATATTCGCTTAAAATTTGTAATTTTTTTTCAATATAGACGTGTATAAAAGAATAATTTTGAGTTATTTTATGTTATTGTTTTTATTTTCTATCAACGATTATCCGACATGGATAACAATTTAAATAGGACATAACAATCAACATATAAATTTTAATATGTTCTGATTTATAATGCTTTGCGGACACAAGACGATTGTCATGCAAAGCTATTTCGTCACGATTTCCTGGCAAAGTGAATCCACTAACAACGTGACTGTTACGCTAGCAACGGACGACACGTGCTACCGGTAGTTCTGATTGTTGGGGCAGTAGTGACAATTACGGAAAAGCTAGCAGTGGTGTAATTTCATTTTTTTCTAGAGTAGGATTTTTGATGATTTGCTGAGTTTGGAATACCTTGCGTTGTAAATGTTTGCACTTATCTTTTAAGAAATCCAATTCAAAAGCAGTACATTTGAAATAAACTTTAAAATTGACTGAAAATCAAGAGTACGTTAATATATTACATTAGTTACAGATATATTATAAAGCGGGCTTACAGTAATCAAACTCTAATTTTACCATTAATTTCGTTTATTTTTGATGATAATTCATCAATTACAGTATTCTGGATGTCGACTTTCCGCAATAAAAGCTGTGTCATGGTTTCGTAATAATTCAACGATATTGTATCGGGTTTTCTCACTTGCGATTCGTTTTCAATAATCATATACTTATCGTCTAATATACATCGTTAACAAGCCTAGATAAATTATTATTTGCTCTAGAAAGTACTTTCGAACACCATAAGACAGTATAGTCGCTTTGCGTTAGTAATAATAATATTGATTCGAATTGAACGAATATTATATTATGATAATTGCAAAGAAAGACACTGAGATGTGAAAATCGAAACGAAGTTATAATTGAAAAATAAAAATTTTATAATGTTTTCTAAATAAATAAATATTATTTTCTGATAATTTTTAGTACATTGCATTTGATTTTAACCTACTTTTATTTTTTTGAGAATTAGAAGATAACTGAGACAGTTAATATTAACAAGGAGACCGTAAGACAAATTTCGCATGATCAATTGATCATGAAAAATGTCTTCATAAAAACCTCTCTCAAGAATAAAAAGACGATAGGTGACAAATACGCACTGACATTCTCAAACGGATGGGAAGTTATTAAAAAGGGCGAATAACATGCGATGCGATTTGGATTTTCCAATATAATCCCGAATCTAAGGTAGCCCAAGCGTTGTCAAACTTCCCCATCGCCATAAATCAAAAATGCTTAAACGAGTAAGTCAAAATTAAAGGCCATGTTGAACGTATTTTTTGATGTTTTTATTAGTAATGTAACTATGATTCAATGGGTACCACAAGGATAAACTAAATATCAATCCCCAAGACGCGGGCAATCTGTTAGATACAGGGGTCTTTAACCTATCGTAGACAATGGAAGGAATTCGTTGTGAAAACATACAAAAATACACTCTTTGTTACGATAACATTTATGAGTAAATTTATATTTACAAACTATTATTGTTATATATATACAATAGAACCCGTGTAAGACGTTTTCATTCTTAGGGACCAGTTAAAAATAGCATTTTAAACGGAAATTTTATTATGTAAAAAAAAACAATTTTAATTGTGACATAATAAATAATAAATATAACGCAGTATATCTGTGTGAATTTATAAATTTATATTACATAGAATTTTAAATTTGCAAGGATAAAAGTGCTTGATACGTCTTTATGAATAGAATATGCGTCCTTAAAGAAAATGAAAATTCGAAACCGACCATTTAAGATATAATACCATATAATTATACCGTAGCAAGGATCGGATTTGACCATCGAGCCGTACCGTGCCTGTCGTGTCCTTTGTCGTCTTTGTACTCTCACACGGTACGTATCATTGCGCGACCGAGCCTTTCGCTGACGCGTGAGTGACCGCTGGAGACCATAATATCGTTTTGTTCCTCTGCGTTGTGCGATCCGTTGTTTTGCACCGTCGTGTGTGCGTTGCCGCCAGTCGGCCGTTTCCTTTCGCCGTTGTGCGTGTTTGCCGCCGGTCGGTGGTAGTCGCCGTTGTCCTTGTTTGCCGCTAGTCGGCCCTTCGACGTCGTGCGTGTTTGCCGCTGGTCGGCCCTTCGCCGTCGTGCGTATTTACCGCTGGTCGGCCTTTCGCTGTCGTGCGAGTTTTTGTCGTCGTCGGTTGGAGCGTTTGTGTTCGTCACGTGCGGATTGTGGTCGGCCCAGTGTAACGGAAATTGCGTGCCCCCAATCCATGCTGTGCAGTTGGCTGTCGTGCGATTGGTGATATTTACCGTGTTATCAACCTCTGTGTGATTAAATCACAACATAGTATGTTTTTATTTTGTAAAATTTTATTAATTTGCACTTTGTATATTTATGATAGTCGAGGGCGTCCCGTTTTTCTGTACTGTTTGATACTTTTATTATCATTATTATCATTCTTATTACTATTATTAAAGTGTTGTATGCCCAACACCGGCCATTCACTAATTGTACTGTCATTATTATTATTATTGGTCACCTACACATGTATAAATATATATATTTCAGTTAGTGTTTCTTTAAAGTGTCTCTGGGTAATTGAAGGGCATACGCTTACCATTTGAGGTCAACCGCCTTCATGTAGGAACCTGATGGTACATGTGTTTTAATCGGTATCTACACTTTGCCATCACGTTTTTATTTTTATTGCTTGCGAACCAAAACAAGGCGTCATCGGCTACTTCGTCGGTTCCGTTTCGCGGCGCATTTAATTATTTTACGAGACCCATCAAAAATATTGTAAATAATACCTTACCATTTAAGATATAATAACATATAATTATACCGTAATAAGGATCGGATTAAGGTTACATTTCAATAAGATACATTTTATAATACACATTTTTGTAAAACAATGAAAGTGTTTTTGACGCAAAATACGTGGTTTTATTATACAATATATTAATTAAACAAAAATATAAATACATATATACAATAAATAATTGTCGTCTTAATTTAGGCCAACGGGCCTCATTAATGTGCTGTCACAACCAACCGGCAAAGTCTTGGGCATTTCACATAATCGTAGTTGACGTACAAAGCAGTGATGCAATGAAAGTCATTGCTGCATGTCTTAAAAACGGTATCTGTAACAAAAACGTTTATATCAAGAACTACAAATGGCACGTAGAATACATTTATAAATTAAAATTATATTGTTATAGGTAAGATTGTATCTAAGGGTCGGATGGAGAAGCAGGAGTTTTATTCTTAGGTTAAGGAGATATTTTAACGGATTTTTTTTCTGGTGCAATTCCAATACTCAGCAGAAACGAAACTTACGTGTGTACTAATATTTCGGTATGTATTATCGAGACGTCATTTGGTTTGAACCGTTATAACGGCCGATCCGATTGGAAAAAATGACAGTTGGTGGCTATGAAATGATCGACGGTTTTGTACGGGTGACCGATGAAAAAACCGTCTATGATTTGGTTTATCGTGCTTTCAGCTGGAAAATCAAAAAACAGCAATTTATAACAAAATTTTGTAATACATAAGTGTTCATTGTATGTTTATAAAAAATTATTGAGATAGAATTAAAATTTTTTTAACAGTGTAACTACGACGATGATTATCAATGTTTTTAAACATACTGAAAAACATCAAATCGCTTTTGGCGCGTAACAATAAAATAATAAAGTATCGTACTCGGATCGCTGGCGCTTTCCATCATGGTCCTCGATATGAGTCGGACGAGAATCTCAAATTCGGAGGATTTGATGATTGGCCCGTACTCAAAATATGGTCTCATACGGTCTGAGACCAACAGCTTGATCCTTTCGTAGGAAATCACCCGTTCCTCTTCTAGGGACAGGAATATTGATTGATACTCGGGATTAAAGCAGTTATCAAACACTTGATTTAGCTCTTTGTCTATCCGGGCTCGCATGGCATGGGGTAGTCTTCTCATGTTCCTTCGGAACTCGTGTGTCGTAGCCACCATAGCGCTGAGATTTTTATCGTTCTTAACGATGTCAATCATCTCGGGTCGCACGGTATTCGGGTCCACAATGTCTTCCGTTGGCATTCCCGGAAACATTGATGTACGGTTGAAATTTTCAATGGCTAATGTCAAAATGGCCTGTTCGTCCTGTTGATCTGCAAGCGTAAATAAAACGTTTATTTTAAGGAAACGTAATAGTGTACGCTCGATTATGTGTTGCCTGTAACAGACGTTTGGTTTTATTTGCAACAAAGCCAAAATCTAATTACCGAAGACTTGTGCCTGCGTCGGGAACTGAAGTAAGTACGCGTCGCCACAGTTCTGCTGTCTTTCATCAATATCGACAACAGCGACCTCCATCGTCGATGCAGTTTCATGATTTCTATTGTCCGATTGCGCTATGATGGTCGTCATCAGCCGGTCGTGGATCGTTGACGTGCCGGTACAGATTTTCACTTCGTCTATCTGTTTACCCATAAGAAAGCATTACGATCGTGAATCATTTGCGTAATATTGTTTTATTTGACGTTTTAACATGAGCATATTTTAGTGGTGGAGGTGAAGGGGCGATCGCCTCCCCCCTTGAATCTATATTTAAGTAATTGATTTCATGTCAAATTTCAAATTTTTTTAATGTAGATCATTTTATAATAAAATCAAATTACGCGTGGCTGTGAATACTGTAATTAGCTTTTTGTCGGGTCCATGCTTATTGAAAAATCAATTAAAATACAAGCGTAACTTTCAAAACACAGACAGGTGTTAAAAAAAAATTATACAAAATCGATTCTAACTGTATCCGACATTAGATTAAAAAAAAAAAAAACACAAATATTAAGGATTCACCTGGCAAAATATTAACAATTTTACTTGTAAATTTTGACCCTGAATTAAAATAAATTTGAGTCACCCCGCTCCCCTAGAAGTAAGTCTAAATATGCCCCTGCGTTTTAGTGTATCCGCGTGGGATAATTTATGGGTACAGCAACAGCCAAAAGTAGTGGGAGGTTTCTTTTCCTTTTTCAAGTGCAACCTAGGTGTGAATTTCGGGAATCACAGAGTAGATATTCACGTACTGTTTTACGCATTGCATCGCAGTATATCTCTGCTACCATGCACTTCCTTATCGCTTCCTTTTCCATCTCGCCCAAACACTTCTCCACGAACATTTCTATTGTTCCGTCTTCAGCCGAGCCGCGGTCGCTCGCAGTGTTTTCTTTTATGTTGACCATTAGCGTTTCACGCAGTTTCGCCAGGTAACCGGCCCTTACCATATCACTGAGGCCATAGTCCATGTTTTCAGGACTCATGTCTGCTGGTGTTGCCGGCAAACCCAAGTCCCATACCGATGCGTATTGTAGTGAATTCATAATGTCTCACGTACGAGTAAACTAGCTATGTACGAATAGCAGTAGTATACTTGAGTAGTCTGGTGCTTTCTGATGTATCAGCCGGAAAGGTTGTGAGAGTCGATCGG